TTCTTGTTGAATATCACTTTTGATCCCGATTGTCAGAGTCTCGTAATGACGCTATATCAAAGATAGTGTTGTGCCAATTTGATATTTATAGATCAAAAGCATCTATTAGTGTACCGCCTTCCTAAAAGGGTACTGGTCATTCAAATGGATGACCCGTAAACTTTCTTCCATCGTATCTCAGGTGTTTACTTCTCAGCCACTCACCCGACATCTTAGGTGAATGCCAAAGAGGAGCAACTGTAAACACCCCTGTCAAAATTCTGGCTAAGAGAATTTTTAGAAACCTTGATTTTGAGTCCTAAAGACCACATAAATCCTAGTGAACTATAGTCAACATACCCAATAAAATTGTCCCAAAACTACCAAAAGCTTATCCCAAAAAATAGTAGAGCTTGAGAGCTTTCCAACAGTCTAATGATCATCAAAATCCAACGTACCATCAAAAAGATATAAACTGTGGAAATTTGACAGGGAAAAATTAATAAAATGGCCTTTGCGCAACCCAATCCGTATCGTGCGTGGGCTGCGCGCCACGAGAAGGTTTAGACCGCGTGACTTGCTACGCGTCGCACGGCCTGAAGTCCCGAGGCAATTCATTTTACCCCAAATCCTATTTTGTTTAGGACTATTAAGTTGGTTTTAACTTGAATATTCTAGAAAGATATAAAAAATGCCTTTTTCCTAATCAAATTAGGACTAGAAGATTATCGCTAAAACTGATAAATTCCCCTTTAATTTCGCTAGAAAGTCAATCGAAAAATTCCCAGCAAAATCCATAGAAAAATCTCAAGGAAATTCTAAAAATCCTATAATATTAGGAAAGTACCTAAAAAATTAGGAAAAACCTAAAATAATCCTAGAGAGTTTGAAAAATTAGGAAATTTGTCCAAAAATCCCTAAAAGAATAGGAAAAATCCCAAAACTCCTAAAAATAACATCTAGAAAATTAGAAAAAATCCCTAGAAAACCTTAGGATAGAGAATCTAAGCCCCAATCCTTTCAAAATTTCTCTAAACTCAAAATCTAGAAACAAATCCTAGTTCCGAAATCTTAGAATCATGCTTCAAAAAAGCAAGAAAAGACCATCCAAAGGTGTAAATCAACCCATGGTCATGATACGGGTCCCAACTCTAAGTTTCTCAAGTACACAATCTTTTTTTCTCTTTTATTTATTTATTTATTGATTTTTCACTTTTTATTTTTATTTTTTGGTTATCTTTTTATTTCTTAGGTTTAGTTAGAATTTAAGCATTTTAAGGTCTAAAAAACAAATTCTAGAGCTAGCGCCAATAGATTTAGAGGAGAGCCGGATATGTAAGTTCCGTGATGCTTATAAATCTATAATTTGAGCGACCCCCACTCTCTCCATTGATCTCTAGGAATTTAACTTGTTTTGCGTGAATTTGAGTTGATCTCGCTCATAGAATGGTCCAAATTTGCAAGTTAATGTATTTAATAGTTTACCCTCTTTATACTATTCCAACTTAAAACCATGTCCATTTTGATGAGCATTTTGAAATTAAAGAAAAATATATTAATTTTTTTAAAATAATTAACATCCTAGTTGTACTAACGCCAATAAATTTAGAGGAGAACCGGATATGTAAGCTCCATGATGCTTATAAATCTGTAATTTGAACGATCCCCACTCTCTCCATCAATCTCTTAGAATTTAACTTGTTTTACGTGAATTTGAGTTGATCTCGCTCAAAGATTGGTCCAACTTTGCAAGTAAATGTATTTAATAGTATACCCTCTTTCTACCATTCCAACTTAAAATCATGTCTGATAAGCATTTTGAAATTAAAGAAAAATATATAATTTATTTTAAATAATTAAATCCTAGTTGTATTATAGTAAATTTTGTATAATTATATTTTTTTGCAATATAGTTACCTTTAATTGAGTGAATAAACATCACTATCTGACCATGTAAAAAGTAAGATTCTCATGAATATCGAAAGGTGTACTTTGTATAAGGTTAATGCCCTAAACAATCAAACTGTACCTCTAAACAGTGTCAAATGAAGATATTTCTGTAGAAAAAATCTTTTTTATAGCTTAAAAATTTATTTTCTTCTCTAATTATAAAATTTAGAGTTTAAAAAATAGTGTAGATCGAACGGATCTATAAACACTTAAAAATATTAAAAACTGATGGCCCAAATAATACATTACCAAATGTACTATTTCCCATATTTGAAATATATTCTTTTACTTATGATTGATTCAAGGATTTTTCGAAATCAAAACAACTTTTTCGAATAAAATTTTGAAGTGTGCTTTAATTTGATTGTTTAGAGCCTCAACCTTATATAAACTTCTTCCATATGGAAAAGGGGTACAACATTGGGGAAAGTAGTGAACAATGGACCATCAGCAGTTCGATCCAAATGACAGACTAAATTTACATGCGTAGAGATATCTGTCACATGGAAGTATAATCAATCTCTACCCTCCATCATGGTGGATGGCATTGTGGTGAACTGTGTACCATATTTTACACCAGCAGCTGTGTATAAACCATGCGTGGACTTGGTCTGTACAAAAAGAGACATGAAATGAAAGCTGAAGACTACATAATGTTACATTTTGTGAATAGCTGCACGCCTTAACTAGGAATAGACAAAGTATCCTTATATACCGGTAGTTTTGGGCTTAATATAAAGAGAGACATGATAAAATAGAAAAGGGTTTTCATTTCAGCCTTCCTTTTAGGTACATGAAGAGAAATTCATTCAATTTGTAGGTACATGAAGATGGGGATCTCCAAACCTCTCCCAAGTCATTTGAGATTGATCATTGAAGGGGACTAGGCCAATGTGATTAAATGGTGGAAGGAAACAGACCTTACACCTAGGAATTTAAGCCTTATTGTGTATGAAATCCTCTTATACCTGCGGAAGATAGAAGTCAGTTTCGTCCATGTTGCTAGAGATATCAACATAAATACAGATTTTCTAGCAAATCAGACGACCTTGGTCTAGAGCCTCCTTCTCTTCTTTCTTTTTACTCGTCTTTCCTCTCGCCCCTCTTCTTTGCTTTTTTGTTATTTTCTTTTTGTTTCTTTCTTTTTTTACCTTTGCGATTGTAACCTCTTCATTAGCTTAATGAAATTTGCATAACGGTTCAAAAAAACAAAAAAAAAAATTTGTGGGGCTGTGGCCCCAGCCTTGAACCAGGCTTGATGTGGACCGGTCTAAAGAAGTCTTGGCTCAAGCTTGGGACTTGATTGGGCCAAAGGGTAATAGTTGAAATCAGCGTTTCAAAAAACGCCGAGTCAAACCGGACTCGCCCGGTTCGACTCGGAAATCGTGAAAGGGGACCGGATCGCCTAAAAAATCGGAAATCGTCCGGTTCTAGAGAAAACCGGATGATTCTGTACAGTGAATCGCCGATTCACTGTACGGAATCGGCGAGTCCGAACAATGAATAGGCGAGTCCGTTTACGGTTTTTTTTTTTTTTTTTTTTTTTTTTTTTTTTTTTGGTAATCCATGATAGATTTTTTTGTAATACTTGCTTCGA